ATATACCGTTTTGGAATTTTTGTTAATATTTTTTACCCTTTGAGTTTCGGACTCTTATCTTTTATTTGAAATATTCTCTCCCTTGATTTTCTCCCTTTTGTTATTAAATAATTATATTCTTTAAATAAAAACAAATAATAAAAACATAAATAAAATACATAACAAATTAAAATTTGACATTTTTACTAAATATTGAAAGTGTTGCTAATGAGCTCTCTTAAATGTTAAAATATTGACATTTTGAAAAATTTCCCTAAATTTAATTTAGGGATTTTTACCGGGTGGTTCGTTTTGATATATTCACATAACTTTTTATCTTATTTTTTTAAATATGTTAATCTGGTGTGCATATACAGGTTATTGATTAGTTCGTAATCGATTTAAATGAATAACAATTTTACATAATATCATAAAACATGAATGCTAATTAACTGATTTCTATAGAGCCTCCTATTGCCATGACAACTATACTCGATACACCAACATGCAAATGAAAAAAAGATCTTTTAAAAATATTCGATAAAATTTCTCATAAGTCAATTCATACTACATATTTCGTTCAAATCACCCAACTTATTTATAAATGCACTAGATTGAATAATGGATAGAATCAATAGGTGAATGACTCATCGTAAGTTATGTTTTCATGAACTAATTTTTTAATTGTATCACTTAGTGATTTAACATATTGTAAAATGCATTGTACAATGTTTTGTGGAATTATGTGATCGGAATAATTATTAGCAGGTGTAGACATACGTTACGTTTAATCTAAATCTAAAGATATCAGATTAGCTTTCGTTTGTTTTCACACCTAACAATCATCAAGTTGGGCAAAAATTATTGAAGTCAATTTTGAGAACAGAACAAGGAACATTAATCAAGGGATTAGAAACCAAATGAGTAGGTACATTGACCAATAATTCATAGTTAGGCATAATACTCTTTAACCGGGCTTCGATTGTCGTTTATGCCTTTCAATTTTGAGTATGAATAAGTAAATACTTAATTTGTATATAGTTGAACAAGCAGACATATATGTCTTATGCGACATAATACAAATTAGTGTATGTCACGCGAATTTACATGTCGACCGTGTGCATCTAACTATTTATTTTTGGCATAGTATATAAATATGACCTTGAACTTGGTTTCAATGGATAACTACGTCCTCCGATTTTGAGTGTACACAAGTAGATACATAAACTTGTATAAAATTGAACAAGTAGATATATGTGTCATACATGACATAATACACGTAGGAGTCCACATAGGACATAAACTTGTCATGTAAGATGCTATGTAGGATAAATGTGTCTATTTATTTAATTTTATACAAATTTAAGCGTCCATTTATGCACACCCAAAATTAAAAATCATAATTGCATATTAATACCAACTTTAGGATTATGTTCATGTATTATGCCTTTAATTTGATTCATGTTGTACATTGTTTCTTGCTAGACTTTATTTGGATGGGAACGTGAATCTCATCTCAAGACTTTTGAACTTCTTCATATTTCTTGTCGTATTCCTATTGTCATTTGTGAGAAATAGATGTTGAGTATAACTCTATTTCAAAAGTAGCTTCGGTGAATGATTGTTCAAGCATATAAAGTTTCAACCAGCTCATTAATCATTGTGAAACATTTTAACATTCTTCAACTCTATTCTTATCATCTCCCTAAACTTTATACATTTGTAGTGTTGTTTTTTCTTTTCTATTTTGTTTGCTATTGAGTTTCAAATCTGACTACATTTAGATTCGCGCCAGGAAGTTCCACATTGAAATAAAACATTTTCTAATAAAGGTGACTCCATATCCAAGGGGATTCGAACCAAGACATCTGGTTAAGGATTATGAAATACTTAGCTTGTTACTCCACCATAATCCTTGTTGGTGAAATTATGACATTTGGAACTCCTTTTAGTACCAACAAGACAAAAAAAATTTCACAACCAAAGGTATGCTGCAGTGGATAAGGCTACTCTCACCAGAGGTCTTGCGTTAGAACATTAAATATAAAAAATTACACGATAAAGAGTATATCCTCCTAAATAAGGTTCTACACAAATTTAAAATAGTCAAACTTCAATATGAATACTGAACACCGTATAGAACTCCAACAGAAAAAGATAAAAGCTTTTCAAAGTAAAAAATTATGATCAACAATTTGAAAGTAAATGTAGAGTACTAGTAATTTTTTTTCTTATGTATGAAAATTGAATTTCATCTACTAGAATAGTCAAGTCATGAAATTATTCTAGTTTAACTATGTCACTATTAGAAAGGATGTTTTTCTCACAAATGAGTTAATTTTTAATTTTTTTTTGGTGATTAATACTAACATTTCACCATCTTAGTCAAAGAGAATTCAAAACCTTTTTTCTTTTGTCTTTCTACTAATGTGTTAAGATCATAAAAGATCAGGCATTGGTGGGGTAGCTTTACCTTAAACCACTTTTTCTTTATCTTCATCAAATCATTTCCCTCCTCTCTTCTTTTTTTATTTTTTCAATTTTGAAATATTTGCTTTATTCATTTGAATAGACAGAGAAATTTGCTAACTCCACAATTTATGGTGATATTATTCCTCCACATCTCCAACGCCAAAAAGAAAAAAAAAGTCCTTTTCTTCACTTTTTTTTAATTATTATCCTTTATTTTCATTATAATAATAATGATAATTGGACTTCTTAATCTCTTTACATAGAATGGCTCTTTTCATTTACAAGTTGTCATGGACCCATGGTGATGGAACTATATCTTCTTCACTTCAATAAAGTTCTCAAAGTTTTTATAAATACATAACATATAAACCGTACCTCTTAATTTAGATTCAACTCATATTCATATTCTTCAATATTAGGCGTAGATGAGCATATAAAATTAAACTAATAAATACAAGTGTCTTACATCACGTCTCAAGTGATTGACACGTAGAATACATATATGTACTTGTTTAATTTTATACAAATATGTATTTTCTACTTATTCAATTTCAAAATGTAAAGACCTAAAATACCGTCGAAGTCAAATTAAAGAAAACGTTTTTGTATCATACCTTTTATAAAAGAACAAAACATAATTTTCCTCCAACTGCGATATCCAATTTAGTTTATTTAATTTTTTGTCACTAAAAGCTCTTTTTTCTCCCCTTTATAATATGCTAATAAAGGAAAATCACCAATTGGAACAATTGTTCATGAATACTTATAATCACTAGCAAGTAAGCAATGAAATATCAACCTATATTATAAATTTAAGTAAGACAAAATAGGAGGCTAAATATCATGATTCTTTCGAAGCTTCTTTTAATTGAAAAAAAAAGGTTCTTGGGAGTAATGAATAAATTAAATATGCATTAGTAATTAAGAAAAATTACTCTTAATATAAGCTCTAGAAAAGTCACATCAAATGAAGCACATGTTGTACCGTGTGTGAAAAGGTGATAGAGATTAGAGATAATAATATATACAAGGACTTTAGAAAATCAATACTTTGATATGAGTATCCTAAATGTAATTTTCGTATTATAGGCAAATATTGTATTAAACTTGTATGTACGTCGTTATCGATTTAATTATCACAAGTATGCACTTTTGTGGCAATAATTGTACGAGCCATATAGTTTAAAATTTTTAAAAAAGATAACGAACTTCTTTAAAATGATCAATTCATAGAAGTTAAAAACTCTTTACTGCCTTTTACTCCGTCCGTCTGACAATATTTATTATGTTACGCTATTCGAAAGTCAATTTGATTAATTTTTAAAATTAAATTAGATCATATTAATTCGAAATTTAAAAAAAATAATTAAACAGTCTAAAACTATATGGAAAGTACTCTAAATTACAATTTACGTATTAATATGATGAAAAAATACATCTTAAAATGTTAGTCAAAGTTTTTATAGTTTGACATTAAAATAGAAACCATGTGGAGCATTTATAGTAGTTATTTTGCATATACTCGAACAAAAATTTAGTGATTCAGTGAATAAGTATTTTTTCATTTTTAATTAGAGTTATCAATTTCAAGGCTTAAGAATGAACTCGTCTTTGATAAAGAACACTTTAATTATGAGTAGAAGTTTTCAAATATTTATATCGACTTTGATTTAAAAAATAAACACGAAGACATATAATAATTACCTAGGTACAACTCTTCTTCAGGTAGCATTCGGACCAAATGACTCTGACCACTGAATTCCCATCTTGAGGTTAGTAAAATTTTGCGTCTAAATGAAAGAGAGTTTCACTTGATTTCATCATCATATACCTGCAGTACACAATTAAAACTTAGCACCAAAAAAAGAGACGTGATATAATTGCACATCATGATACAATATACTAACACCAAAAAATGAAAGGATAAAATTATGAACATGAAAAATAAATAGTATCAACGAGTATGATAGACAAATACAGAAAAAAGATTTAGAGGGGGAAGCAAATATGATATAGGACTCATTTTTAGCGATTGGAAATTGCTAATTAACAAGATTATAACTATAAAAAAATATTTTTTTTAATAAAAAGATATTGAACGTGGTGAATATCCATCCATGGTACTATAGATCAATGACAAATTATTAAAAAACAAAATTGGACCCTCAATATATATGACACAAAAACTACCAATTTGTTATTGACATATACACTCTCTTCTTACATAAGAATATATATATATATATATCATCCTTCTTTTTTTTTCTTGATGGGGTTTTCTTTTTTTTCTCTATATAAAAAGTATATATATGTTCCAATATTGCCCTTGTCCATTGAAAATATCAAATGTTATTGCCAATATTGGTTGCCGTGGTGAATCAAATAAATATGTCTACTATTATTCCCATGACTATGATGATAAGCATATTGAGGAATCTTGGCCGTGACTTTCTCATGACAAATAGGAAACATCACCGGTGACGATCTTGTTCTAATATGACGTATGCGTCCGCTAATTGTTTCATCTAAAGAATTTCGTGCCATTTTCTTATATGGTCTTGGACAATCATGATGCCTCGTTGATGTAGGAGGGCTAGTAACGGTTGAACAAAATGAACTTGGTGATGACGTGACATCAGGGTTGCTGATAGTGGTACTATTGGTAGATGAGGTAGAAGCAATAGAAGGTGTAGGAGATACAACTTTTTTTGTGGATTTTGGTGGATATAAAAAAGCCCTCATCTTGAGAAACGATGATATTTTTGAAACACGATCATATTCTTCGATTAAATTGGCTAAATCTTCGTCAGATGTTATCGATACAAGAGCATCTAGATCTTCGTTTGGTAACTGACATCTTAAACTCACTGACGATCCACACATCTCCCCTAGCTTCACTAATAGTTCTGAAAAAAAAATTGGTATATCTAAATTAATAAAAAATGTAACATACATATATAGAATTAAATCAATGGAGCATAAATTATGAATCATAGGAATGAAATAAATAACAACCTGTGAATGAAATGGAACGATCAACGGAGAGGACACGAGTTTCGCCACCATAATACCGGAGTTTTCCATCGGTTTGACGGGGGATAATCTTGCCACCATAGCTACAAAGGAATTTTAGAGGAAAATTATGGGAATTAATGGATGGACTAACCATTTTTTTTTCCTTTGTATTTTGCAAGTATTGGAGATATTATAAGTTATAATTTAAGGGGTTTTGAAGAGGCCTTAGTTGGTTGTTCAAGCCTAAGTAAGGTTACCTTTACCACTTATTTATAGAGTTTTTTTTGTTTTTGGGAATGGGAGAAGATAAGAGGAAAATAAGACCGGGTCGGGTCGGGTCGGGTTAGAAAAACCCAGAAAGAGACCCACGCACCTAAGATTCCAATATTGGTTGGGGCTCTTGTTAATTTAATTAAGATTTCATTTTTCTTTTTTTCTCTTTCAAAGTTCAAACAAGTGGTGTCCAAAATGGTTGAATTGTCATCACAATTAATAGCATTTTGGTTACTAGATTACGAATTTGTATTTCAAAGTAAACTTTACTATCATATGGCTGATATAACATCATATTACTAAATTTCTTAGGTCATTGGATTAGAATTATATCGAGATTTACATCTTCTTCTTTAATTATTTGATGGTGATCAGATATATATTGATTTGATTAATTCAGTATGGAGTTACATCTAGTCCATTTAACTAGAGAAACTTTTAAATGCTTGAAATCGAAAGAAATTTTATACATTCGACCACAAGAAATTTTGGTGATAGGCATTTACATACAATAGCAATATTCCATTAACAGTATATACTGTAGAAAGTGGAAGAGGAATGGATTTAGCATCCTGCACCTTAACCATTATGTAAGGATAGGATTACAATTTTATCAAACAGAAAGCTACCACTCTAATTATCTAAACAAAGTATATTCTATGAATATGTCATTGGGTTGGGCCAGGAATTGATTTCATTATGGTAGCCGCAAAGGCGAAGCCAGGTCTCGAAGCTTAAAGTTATTGACTTCGAGTGAACTCATATTTCAAAGGCTAGCCCGTCCCTCATAATAATTAACAGTATTTTATTATACTTGTTCACCTAGGAATGTGGGTAGGTGAAAACGAATAGCTCCATGCCCTGGCTATGTTGGATTCATGATCATTACAAATTTGAACAGAGATTCCTTAATTACTGTGATGGATTTTGGACGATTCCTTTTGTCAATGACGTTGCGTATTGTAATTCTTATATTACTATATATATATATATATCTTATAGAAGCTAAATTATCATATGATATAGAATATTCTCTTTAAAGATACAAGGATCAAGTAGAAATTATATACACACAAACAACATAATAATATTGGAGTTGTATTTGTAACTTATAATCAAATAAAGTTAAAGCTTAACATATAACATAATACAAGTTGATGTCTAATTTTTTATTTATTTATTTAATCTTAATTATACACCATATTATGAGTAAGAGAGAACATTAATTACTAGAAGTAAATATATATTTGCTGGTCAAATTGTAAATTTCTGTATGACTAAGACTTAGGCTTTTATAATATTTTTCAAATTTTGACTATATACACAAAGAATACGACATTTTTTTTTGTCATCTATTTTCTTTGCAATAAGAGATTGAAATTGCAGGGCTGACAGTTGTTGAAATATGATTGGCTGGCCGAATCTGGCAGCATATGGAGAGTATTTAAGAAACTATAAATATTTCACATTATTTAAGAAAAATACATTTTCTATATTTTTTTATTTCTTTGGTGGATGGTAAAGTATCCTAGTTCTTGTCTTTTACTATGTCAATGTCTTCTCTATCCTTGTATATTTAATTAGGAGATGTAATTTTAGTTCTTATCAAGACAATTCAATTTCAACTAGGATTATTGTAGGAAATTCCATTCCAAATTTTATCTTAGAGGTATAATTATATTTCCTTCGAGATATCTCAAATATCTCATAAACTCTTGATTATTCATCAAATATTGTTTTTTCAAAGAAATTTCGAATATGAGTATCAAAATATATCAGATTCTTTTTGACAATTAAATATTTCAAGTAGATCCACAAATCTTTTCTCGGAGATCAATGCAAATATATAAGAATTATTATTAATTCTTTCTTAATTATGACCCAAGTTTACTTGTGATTCAAGTAATACCATAAATAATATATAAGATGAATAGATCTCGTCATCCGTACATTGATTACTTGATGAATGTACCCGATTAAGTCATAACTTTTATATAAATTAATCCTCCTTCCACCCATTAGGGTTACCACATATTCTCTACAATATTTCCATCGCTGAAAATTGTTTAACAACTAACACTTCTGTTCTTATTTCTATGATGATGTTGTTTACATCAGATATTTGCCTTAACAATCGCTATGTATAATTATCGTATTTAAGATCCGAATATTATGTATTAAAGTATTTAATCTTACAAAATCACCTTAAAAGAAAAAAATCAATGAATCAACGAAATTATATCCGCATAAACACGATTAAGCCAGAATGAGGTATTAATCAAATGTAGAAATTGAGATCCCATACCACAATGTTAGTCCAATATCTACAATTGGGTGTGACCAATGTGAATGTGGTCCCTTTAAGCCACTGCCAATAATGTCCTATCCCATAAGCTTGGAAAGGAATATAATGGCTTGTGTGGAGGGCAGGGAAATGGGGTTGGTAAAGACTTAATCAAAGCTTATATATATCATGTCCCGTGACTATTTTAGCCCTATAATAATAACAATGATATTTTGAATAATAATAATAATAATAATAATAATAATAATAATAATAATAATAATAATAATAATTCAGTAAAGTAATGAAAAGTTGAAAGATGGCTTTGGGACCGCAACTAATCGAAGGATTATTTTGAATATCTTAACTTGAAATCAAAAGGTTAAAGGATAAACTATTTAAATTTCATAGTTTTAATATGAAATTATAATATATTCCTAATAAATTTTTAGTTATATTAAACCCTTAAAAGTTTAAAAAATTGGATATAATAATTGAAGTTCAGATACATTAAAATATGTAGTTCAGATACATTAAATATTATCTCAAATTCATTAAAAACTAGATTGGATACATTAAAGAAATAAGAAATTTTGGAGATTTTTAAAAGTAATAGAGGATAATGGAAATAAATGAAACAAAAAATGTGTATTTCTATAATTTGTCTGTCGTGGCATCATATACAAATACAAATCAAATTTGTTTTATAAATGATGAATTACATAAATGTGACACTTATACAAATTCAAATTAAAATCTACATAATTAGCATTAAATGTTAGTAGCGAATTGTAAAATATTCAAATTATATTAACTAATTAATCAATATGCATATACTTATTCATACATTATTTCTCCTAAAATTAACGTAACTTTTTTTATATAATACATTCATAACTCTAACGACCAATCACTCATACAAAATTGATTGGAGTCTCTTTCATGAATTATCAATTAAAAATGGCATCTTTCATTGGGCTGCCACTTGAACTTTGAACATATGCCTCTGTGGCTCCCACCTTTTTGGGGCCAAAATTTTGCATATCCAAATTAAATTCCAATGCCTTCCACTCTTGTTCCTTGGTTTTCCTACTTTATTTCCCTTTCATATTTCCTTTTTCTACTCAATATTATTTCAAAGAGTGAGAGTGAAATATCATTGCACCAACTTTTCTTTATCATAATAAATTCAAACTTAAGTTACTTAATATTTTGAAGAAAAAAAAAGATTGAAAGTTGGAATATATATATCCACATTTTTATCTTCTTATCTTTTTTCTCATTAAGGGAATGGGACATATGGGCATCTAAGAAATCAATAATGTGAAGTAGCTCGATCCCATTTATATTTGTAGGTCCAAATTAGTAGTCTCATTGAAAACAAACGTGACATTTCACCTCATATACCCTATTTCATGAATACCTAAGTGAAAAATCGTATTCGGTGATATTGTCTGCTTTAGGACTTAGGATTGCACAACTCGAGAACACATCATTAGTTGGTAAGACCTACTTATATACACAACATATATCTCTAGATCTCCTGCATTTTGCCGATTTGAAAGTTCTTATCTTAAGCTGAGGTGTTATAAAAATAATAAATTATGTTATATATGGGTAAAAATGAAAGGCGCAACACAATCAATTAATTTGAGGTAATTCATAATCCATATAACAATACAATAAACTTTTTTTTTTAACGATAATTGAGTTATTATCATTATATTCAAACATTAATATAGAGTGTTGATTATAAATGCTATTATTTATTATTATTGCTACATATAGCATGGCAACAATAATCTCTAAATCCTCTATTTATGAGAATGAGATATAGAACAATCGAGAAGATGTATATTGAATATTTGAATAGATAAAAAATGTTTACATCATAGTTTGCATTGTGGGTTTATTTGCCTAATCTTCCTAACCATCTACCAAGTGACAACTCATCTACTAACACAATCTTAACAACTTCTAATATTCTAACTAGATAATGAAAAGACCGAAATATCCTCTCCTCAGAATTAGTTTATATCAATATATATTATGGGCCGTTTGGCCATGCGATATAGTAGCATGAGATGAAATTAAAGTTTTGTTTGGATATACGATATGAAATTTTGGTCTTGTATATTTTGTCATAAACATATAAATCTCATAAGTTCTAAAACTATTAAAATAGCCCCAATTATTTATTCAATCTTATCAAATAAACAAAAAATTATAAAATCGCATAATAAATTATTACAAAGATATTTGTTCTCCACTTAAGTAATTGTTACAATCTAACTTTCACTTCTAATCAATATATTTGAGTAAAAATGAAACACAACAATTGTAAAGTGTGAGTTAAAGTGACTATATGTTTGTGAGAATAATAAATTTTATGTCGGTGAGAATAATAAATTTTATAAAAGTAATGATGTGATTATAAATTATATTTACATGTGAAATAAATTGTTAGTAGATATAAATGTGGGGTCGTTTTAATAAAGTATAAACTTGTGGATTAATTTTTGTATTAATATCCCAAATCATGATATGATAATTCCATATCATGGTTTTTGGAGAATATGAAATCACATCTCATGATATGAAATCACGAGATGAAATCGACGTAAAATCGCATGTTCAAACGCTGATTCCATCCCACGATATTATATCGTAATATGATATCGAATGACCAGACGCCTACTATATAT